AATATCCCAAGAATCATTGGTTAAAGAACAATAGATGGGTTTTGTTTTGTTTTTGAGACAGTCTTGCTCTGTCACCCAGGCTGGAGTGCAGTGGCGCGATCTCAGCTCATTGTAACCTCCACCTCCCAGGTTCAAGTGATTCTCCTGTCCCAGGCTCCCAAATAGCTGAGACTACAGGTGCAAGCCACCATGCCCGGATAATTTTTGTGTATTTTTAGTAGAGATCGGGTTTCACCATGTTGGCCAGTCTGGTCTTGAACTCCTGACCTCAGGTGATCCGCCTGCCTCAGCCTCCCAAAGGGCTAGGATTGCAGATGTGAGCCACTGCACCCAGCCTAGATAATTATTTCTGATTGTTACCTCATCTATTCTGATCAAAACAGTCTCACCAGCACCATATCCACATTCTAGCCCATGGAAAGGGTAAAGAAAAGAGAGTAGAAGATACTAGTTTCCATTTGAGGAAGTGACATGGAAATAACATAATTCACCTGTGTTCATATTCCACTGGCAAAAACTCAATCACATGAATGTATTTAGCTGCAGGGGAGGCTAGGATATGCCCTCCAAAATCTCAGCGGGGAAGTCCTACTTGTAAAAGGAAAAAATGAAAAATGGATACTAGGAGGAAATCAGCAGTCTCAGAGGTAATATACTTAACACAGTTTTTAAAAAAACATAAAATGGTGTAGAATGAAGTTTCCACCCTATTCACCTTCTGTCCAGTCCTCACACCTCCCAACAAGAGGTAATACTTTATTAGTGACTCATGTATCTTTCCAGAGTTTTTCTAAGCAACTTGTAGCAGATGTAAATATGTATTCTTATTTCCTACCTTACCCCATATTGTACATGAAAGAAAAATATACAACATATAACATTCTGTACCCTTTTTTACTTAATATATTTTGTAGTTCCTTTTATATAGATACATAGTTATCTTCTTCATTCTTTTATACAGCTGCCTACTGTTTCTAATGCTATATCATTGATAAAGTCTTATTGATAAACTCAAGATTTTTCCAATCTCTTATCATTATAAACCATGCTGCAATAATAAACTTGTGCCAGTCATTTTGAACATGCGAAAGTATATCTACAAGACATTTCCAGAAATGGGATTCTCCAATCCTATGATATTAAGCCAACTTTTTTATCTCTTTGAGCCCTATTTTTTAACTAATAAAATGAAGCTCATATTTACCTCATTGGTTCATTATAATGAAATAACCAGATAAAGAATTATTTTACAACAATATCAAAAACAAAATAAAGATAAGTTTATCAAAATATATGTAATATCGGTACTCTAAAAACCTATAAAACTCTTTTGAGAGAAATTAAAGAAAGCCTAAAGTAATGAAGAAATATACCATGATCACAGATTGAAAGACTCAACATTGTTAAGATATAATTCTCCCCAAATTGATCTACAGATTCAATATAATCCCAATTGAAATCCAAGCAAGCTTTTTTTTTTTTTACAGTTTTACTTCTTCCTTTCCAATATTAAAAAAAATTTTTAATTATGCTTTAAGTTCTGGAATACACCTGCAGAGCATGCAGGTTTGTTACATAGGTATACACGTGCCATGATGGTTTGCTGTACCCATCAACCTGTCAACTGCATTAGATATTTCTCCTAATGCTATCCTTCCCTTAGTCCCCCACCCCCCAACAGGCTCTGGCGTGTGATGTTCCCCTCCCTGTGTCCATGTGTTCTCATTGTTCAACTCCCACTTAGGAGTGAGAACATCCAAGGAAACTTTTTTAAAAATAGAAAGTAACAACTTGATTTGTAAAATGTATATGAAAACACAAAAGATCTACACTAGCTAAAACAATTTTGAAAAAGAACAAAGGTAGATAACTTACACTATACAATTTCAGTACTTAACTAAAAAGCTACAATAATCAAGACATTATGGAATTGGCCAATGTACAATCATATAGTACAATGGAAGAGCATATGGAAAGTCTACATATAGACACATATAGGTCAATTGGTTGTTAGCACAAGTGCCAAGATAATTCCATGGGAAAGAATAGTCTTTTCAACTAGTTATGCTGGGACTATTGGATATCCATATAGAAGAAACGAACCTCAAATCTTATTTCACCGATACACAAGATTGAATCCAATGGATCATAAACCTAAATGTAAGCAGTAAAACTTTGTTTAGAAGAAAACAAAGAAAAAATCTTCATGACTGTGGGTTAGGCAACAATTTCATAGAGGAGACACAGAAAGCACTAACCAACTGGACATTATCAAAATTCAAATTTTTGCTCCACAAAAGAGAAGCAAAATTTAGTTTCTATTAAGAATGTAAAAAGGTAAGCCACAGACTGGGGAAAAATACCTGCGCTATTTGCAAAAAATTGTAATGGTCAAAATATATGAACATACACGTAATAAAGGAAGATATATGTTTGACCAAATGTGCATGAAATGGTGCTCAACATCATTAGTTGTCAGAGAAATGCAATTAAAGCACAATTGTATGCCTCCTAGTAGAATGGTGAACATTAGAAAGTTGTATGGGAAGATGTGGAACTGGAACTCTCATGCCTTGTTGCTGTCTTTGTTTAGTGTTGCTATAACAGAATATCTGCAGCTGGGTATTTACTTTAAAAAGAGGTTTACTTGGCTTATGATTGCGGTAGCTAGAAGATTCAAGATTGGGCAGCTGCATCTGGTGAAGGCCTCATGTTGCTTCAACTCATGATGGGAAGCAGAAAGAGAGAGTGTGTGCAAAGAACACATTGTGAGAGAGGATAAAAGAGAGAAACCGAGGAAGCCAAACTCATTTTTAACAACTTGCTCTCGTGGGAACTAATCCATTCTCTCAGAGCAAGAACTCCATCACCTCCTAGGAGGGCATTACTCTATTCATGAGGGATACATCTCCATCATCCAACACCTTCCACTAGGCTACCTCCTAACACCACCAGATTGGGAATAAAATCTCAACATGCATTTCGGTGGGGGCAAACCACATCCAAACCATTGCAGTTGGTGGAAATGTAAAACGTACAAGCACTTTGTAAAACAGATTGGCAGTTTCTTATACAGGTAAACATATATTTACCATATGACTCTACAATTACACTAAAAAAGAATTACACCACAGAAATAATGAGTCCACAAAAAATATTCACAGCAGCTTTATGCATAGTAGCCAAAAAATGAAACAACCCAAGAGTTCAACAACAGGTTAACGGATAAACAAATTGTGGTGCCTTTATTTACATAATTGAGCACTACTTTCCTATAAAGTAAACCATGAAAATAAAGATAAGTTTATCAAAATATATGTAAGATTGGTACATTTTCATACCTAAAAAATGTAGCTAAATCTCAAATACATTATTCTAGTGAAAGAAGTCAGACCCCCAAATTATAAATGGTAGGATTCAACTTACATGAAATACTAGAAACACAAAACCATAGTTACAGAAAGCAAAACAGTGGTGCCTTGTGGTGTCAGATAAGGAGGACTGACTTGAAAAGAGCACAAGAGGGACTTTTGGAGTGATAAAAATGTTCTGTATTATGGTTATAGTGATGATTATATGAGTGAATGAATTTGTCAAAATTCATTTGTCTGTACACTTAAAATGGGTATGTATTGTTGTATGCAACTTATAAATCAATAAAAAAATCTTAAATTGCTGTACCAATATTGTTTTTGTTATATCAAAACCTGTAAGAGTGGACCTCTTTCTTTAGAAGTTATCACATGCCATCAAACTTTTGCTTGGATTCGTTGAATGCTTATTCTGTGTCAGGGGCCATGCAAAGTATTTTGTATGCAACTCTCATTTAATCATCACAACAATCCTCTGGTATTCCTCCATTTTATGATGAGGAGACTGAAGCACAGAGACAATAAGAGTATTACCCACTTTGGGAGGTCCAGGCGGGAGGATGGCTTGAGGCCAGATATTTGAGACCAGCCTGGACAACATAGCTAGGACCCAACCCTAGAAAAAACAAAACAACATTATCCACATTATCCAATGTCTAATTAGCACTGTGATATTAACAAGTGGTAGAGCTAGGATTCAAGCATAAGTTTGCTACACTCCACCACCCACATCTCTCATCAACATGCTATGTTGCCTCCTTAGCACTCTTATCTTTCTTAATATAGCTCTTGGAGTTTCACTTATAAAGTCTAGGAGAATCACCTCCATTGTTAAAACACTAAAAATCATAAAGTCTAGCATTTGAAGCAGAATTTATTTGTGAAAAGACAGCTGACCAAGGAGACTCAACTTGGTTCTTACTGAATATATGTTTAGCCCAATCTGGTACATAGGAGGCACTCTTGTTGTTGTTGTTATATTATTTTACATACCCCCTGGATTCTCTTCTGTCTGCTACCACTACTATATTGGCACCCAGGTTCTGCTGATCTCCCTTAATGCCCTGGCCTTGGTCCATAGAAAGACTCTTCCTTATTTTCCCCTTAGCAAAACTGAAATTGCTGGAACTTAAAAAACAAACAAACAAAAAAACCTTAATGCTCTGCTAGGAGTACAAAAGGCAAACAAGAAAATGCATAATTAGGGTAAAAGCCATCTGGCTTACAAAATATATGTTTCTGAATTTAGCATTTATTCATTAAACATTTACTAATAGTGTCCTATGGGAAAAAATGGCGATGTGTAAGACAACATGTATGCTGCACTACCATTTCTGTAAATAGAGGAGAGAAAGACAAAGTCATCTAAATGAACATGCACCTTCAGAAGGATGCACTGGAGACTGGGAATAGTGTTTGCCTTTGTGAAGGAGCACATGGGACAGTGTGGGTCAAGGTGATAAACATTGTGAGTGACTCAACCACAACCATTTTACACAAATGCATTTGGAAAATGGACTTTTTATTCCAGGATGGCTCTGATTGTTACAAGTATGATTCCTTTCCCCTGACAGTGATTTGTTAAAGAACAGATAGATATGTGACCCAATTCTGTCCAGTGAAATGAGAGGAGAGCAGAGGAGAGGTTTGCTGGAAGCTTCTAGAATTTGCTTTCTCTAAGGAGAAATTCACAGAAAGTCAGCTTTTTTCTCTCCTGTTGGACACAAATAAGGAAGGATGAAGCCCAGCTGTTTCCATTTTACAACTATGAAATAAATTAGCCTTAGGCTGAAGCCCAGGCAGTAGAGAGCAGAGTAAAAACACAGAAAGAATCTGTGTTCTTGACAATACTGTGAAGCTGCTAAATTGACTGATTCTGAACCCCATCTCTCATCTCTGGTAAGTGAATGAATACATTTTCCTACCAGCCAGGTGTCAGGTTTCTATTACTTGCTGCTGAAAACAGTTAATGCAGATGGAGACTTGCTTTTCTCCTTTTATGTTTCTGTATCTTCCTTTTTAAATTATGTGCATGTATATCTATTTTCAAAAGATTTTAAGAGTTTATGTGGGCTGAGTGTGGTGGCTCATGCCTGTAATCCCAGCACTTTGGGAGGCTGAGGCAGGCAGATCACAAGGTTGGGAGATAGAGACCATACTGACCAACATGATGAAACCCCATCTCTACTAAAATACAAAAATTAGCCGGGCATGGTGGCTCACGCCTGTAGTCCCAGCTGCTCGGGAGGCTGAGGCAGAGGAATCACTTGAATCCGGGAGGTGGAGGTTGTAGTGAGCCAAGATCACGCCACTGTACTCTAGTCCGGTGACAGACTGAGAGACTCCGTCTCACAAAAAAACAAGAGCTTCTTGTTCCAGGTATTGGGAAAATAGAGACTATTTAAGAAAAATCCCCTTTAATCTGTAGGGGTTTTTCTCAAGATATGCTTTCTTAAGAAACTTGCTTCTTTCTCATCAGTGATCTCAACCATCACAAACTCCTTCAGGAAGATGTAGATTTACTCTTCAAAATGAATATGGGTTGAACTATATGAAATTGCCATTTTTATACCAAATATTGGTAATTTCACATTATAAATCACTATCATTGTGTTCAGGTAGAAGAAATTCACGTTACAACCATGGGCAGTGGTCCTCCCTGCCAATGCTCTTGGCCACTGAACTTTTCCATTACTTTCCCCAATTACAGTTTATTTTAATCCTTTTTTACCTCTAGATTGCAGAGAATTGATGGAGAAAGACAAGAACCCTGCAGGTCAGATCACTATACATTCATGCTGTCTAATCCTGTTTTTGTTTCCTCTATTACCTGTCATTTCCTCTATTTGCTATTTCATGCTTCCTGCTTTCAGAGAAAACAAAATCTTCCCACCAAGGATATGCTTATGCCCCATCATATACAAACTGCACCTCTGTCTCTAACCCTCAGCATCCCTCCTCTTTCCCAAAGATGCTGTCCCATACCCTGCCCTCTCAATTGTCTGATGTTGGAGCAGCAGATAAAGGAAATAAAAAACACTAATATATCATAATGTAGAGTATTCGTTAGCTATTGGTACATGAGAAATTATACCCAAAATGTAGTGGCTTAAAACAATAACCAGTGATTATTCCAGTTTCTGTGGGTCAGGAAATCAGAAGTGGCTTACCTAGGTGGTTCTGGCTCAGGGTTGACGGCATGGCAGTCATGATGCAGGCTAAGGCTGCAGTCATCTGAAGGTGTGGAAGGGGCTAAAGATCTGCTTCCAAGATGGCTCTCTCACATGCATGGCAAGTTGGCACTGGATGTTGGTGACAGATTCCAGTTGTTTGCCATGTAGTTTTCACCATAAGGCTAAGTGAGTGTCCTTATGACATGGCAGCTGAATTTCCCAGAACAAGGGATCCAGGACACAGCAAAGAGCAAGGTAGCAAACACAAGATCTTTCATGACCTCACCCTAGAAAATCATACTGTATAATTCCTACGATATCCTGTTGGTTATCATATTAGCTCTATTCAGTGCAGGAGGTGATTGGGGTGGGGTGTGTGAATACCGGAAGGCAAGATCACTAGAAACTATCATGGAGGCTGACCATCACAGATAGTTATTATTATCTCCGTTTTACATATGAGAAAACTGATGCTCATTGGGTCTGCAACACATCTCAAAGTCACACATCAACAAAACAGTGGAAGAGGCTGATCTGAGTCTTAAACCCATACACTTGCTACTGTCATCCTGCTCTGGTGTGGAGGGTACTATCCTGGAATGACTTTCAATTGTTATGTCACTGTTAAACTATTATTTAGTTTTTTTGCCTAACCATATTTTATAATTTTTCATTTTTCTTACAAGGCTGTGCATATGATAGACATTCAGTAAACAGTTATTTCTACCCAATAAGTTAACTTAGAAAAATGGAAGGGTTGACATCCTTATAAAGGTTTGACATAGCTGCTGTTGTCCAATGATATTCTAGTTTCAGTAGGAGCAAATTCATGATAATAATAATTAAGGGAGCTAGAAGGATAACTGGACATGAGTGAGATTGGCCCTAGCAGGAGGGTTGGGGAGAAAAAAAAGAGGCCAATTTGGTCAATTCTTTTTAGGGTTAACCCCAAATTGGATCCCAAACTGGATCTGATCACCTTTCTTTCTGATTCTTCTTATTGTCATCCTCCTCAATCAGATGAAATTTCCTAATAGAAAGGGGTTGGATTTAAATGTATTATCAATTCATTTTCCGGTCCTATGCAATAACAGGGTCCACACTGGTATCGGGATTTAAATATTATTTCTTTTAATTTGTTAATATTTAGATAAATCATATATAATGTAGGCACACTATTTATTTATCCAAATCTTAGAATCTTTAATAAGCCAGTCTCAGAGAAAAACACATTAATATGCTGATGTATTTTCTTCTCAAACAAAACACTGAATATTTTTATATAATTAAGATGGTGTTAAAAATAGAACTTTATCCTTTTTTACAACTTAACATTTTTACATTATTGAAAATCCTTCAAGAACATTACTTGATTCATTGATTATTTCTGATTACATATTACTAAGACCTCTTTGCAAAGAATTTGGAAATTTCTGAGAAATATAATGAGAAAAGTAAAAAATCACTCATAAACTCACCATTCAGATAGCAACTACCAATATTTTTGTATATTCACTTCTAGATTTTTTGTATGTGTACTTACATATATAGAGATGTATTTGTAAAAATACACCACTTTTTGTGGTAGGTTGTTTTATAATCACCTGTTTAATTTAAAGTATATCAGAACAACTTTCTGTATTAATGCATACAAGCCTTCATTACATTTTTAAGGACTATTACTACCCATAATATCTAGATTATTTCTACATTTTATTTTTATAAATAACTCTGTGGCCAATGACCTAGGACATACACCTTTCACTGCTTGTTTATTTCCTTAGAATAAATTCCTGGAAATGGGATTGGTGGATGTCACAGAAATTTGAGACAAACCTTCATTTTTTGGCTCCTTCCCCCTAAGTTTCCTCAGTACTTCATAACAATTCCCTCTACATTTTGGGAGTGTTATAGAAATTCTTTCTATGTGTGTAGATTGCTATGTTTGAAGATTATAAAGTAGAAATATATATATTAGGGTCTTTTTGTTGTTATTGTTTTGTTTTGGAGTCAAGGGACAGACATAGATACTAGCTGCAGCCAGTAAAACAGATATTCATTACAAGGGTCTGAGAAGCTTACATAGGAAGAGCTGAACAATCAGGCCACAGATAGAAGAACCACCCCTTCAGGCACCAATAGCAGGAGTCAGCTTTATTTCCTAGCTTACTGACACTCTGTGGCAAAGTCTGGTTGGCCTGGCTTGCATTGCGTACCCACCTTCTGGCTGGGTGTGTGTGTGCATCTTGACTGATCCCATCAAAATCCCAAGGCACAAGCATACTTAATTTCCAAAAGGGATAAGAGTCTTAGCTCAGGCTACCATAACAAAATACCATAAACTGGTGGCTTATAGACAACAGAAACTTATGTGTCACAGTTCCAGAGGCTGGAAGTTTGAGATCAAGGTACCAGCATGGTTGGGCTCTGGTAAGGGTCCTCTTCCAGGCTGTAGACTGCCAACTTCTCCATGTACGTTCCCATGGCTGAAAGAGGAATAGCTAGCTCCCTGGCCTCTTATAAGGGCTCCATCCTGTCAGCTAATCATGCCCCAAAGGCCTCACCTCCAAATACCATCACATTGAAATTAGCATTTAAATATATGAATTTGAGAGGGAGAGGTCACTAACATTCAGTCCATTGCAATAGGCAAAAGCCATTGTGAGTACTACCAGGATGTTATTTGTATTATTAGCTTGGTGCAAAAGTAATTGTGGTTATGCCATTAATTTTGTACCAACTTAATAGAATATGTGTATAAAATAAGGTTATAAATTGTTGTCTGTAAGCTGATTTAAATGATGACAGAGAAGACATTTGGTAAATGTTTCATAAGTTGGGCTCAGATAAGGCTCAGAGGGAAATTATCTTTGAAACTAAGTAAAAGTCTTCTGTTAAAACAGGGGGCCCAGAATCAGTTACCTGCTATATGGTTCCATGGAGCAGATGTGGAGGATAGGATCCCCACTTGAGTAAAAGCAGCTAAAATGAACAGATAGTTCAAATTTCCAGCTGCCAAGGTTCTATGTTAAGGCGACAGTGAATCAAAACCCTGAGCAAGCCAGTCCAGGATGGTAGTTCAGAGAACTCTCCACTTGGTATTCCACAAAGGATATCCTCCCTGCTATCCATTCATTTATAACTACCTTCATCTGCCACCCTTAGAACTCCTTCTTTCATTGCTGTGCAAGGGCCATATTCTCTTCTTCCTTTTCTCTCCCTATCTTTCATGTTGTAGAGTCCAGTGGATAGCAGGTGAGCTCTCTAACAAGCCAAGTTGCAGGTCTGGTTCTCTAGAAGCTAATGCAAAAATGGAGTTGGGGTACAAAATATTTGGCATCAAACCTGTGAAAGGAAGGGCTGGGCAGAGAGAAAACATGAACCATGATGCGGACCCAATAAAGCTTGAGCCAACCCAATGGGGAGCTCTGGAGCAAATATTGCCCATCAGTTGTCCCCTTCTAGCAGAAATCACCACATCATTGCACCTTGGCTCAGTCACTGGATGTGGGCTACTTCTGAAAGCTGTGATTTGGTGAGGGGCATCTCTCTACAGTTGAGGCAGACACTGTAAAAGCTGACAGCTGAGACTGTGCTCACTGCACTCCCAGCAACTGGGTAGTAAATTCTACCTTGAAGGGAATTTATACTGCAGATATCTGTTTTCTATAAGCCACAGGTCCTTTTCATAGTTTTCCTCTTTCAAAGCTTTTTTAAAATCGACTA